TCCTGTATGATTGCCCGTATCTTATGCACACGTGGCGAGGTAGTCAAGCTGCACAGCCCCCCTTCCCATTTTTCTCATCTTCCTCATCCATCCATCCCCTCCAGAACAAACACAAACTCCCCTCATATCCACCCTCCATCTCTCCACATCAGCGATCCGCGTCCTCATCAATCCAACGGCTCACACCCCTCCAATAAAAAATGGCCTAACCACACCCCTTAACCATAGTCACGAAACACAAACCTGTAGGCCCACACCAACCTACTACCCGTTCAGGCTTATCCCGAGTCGCCCCAGCCCACTCATGGCTGGCTTAACCAAGAAGAAACAGGGCGATATTAAGGCGACAGAGAAAGAAACACGACGACAAAGGAAGAGGGAAAACTAGGCGTTTCTTCTCTACTTCTCCATTCTCATCTTCAAGCTCCCAACTTCGAAGAAAACTGAATTCAACATCTATAGAAAAATCTAGGTTTTCACACACTGTCTCTGCAAATCCAGATTTAGTGTTAGGGTTTCTTTGTTGATTTCTCTGCACTTATTTCCTCGGAATGACACTCTTCTTTAGCGTTCCCCTTTTGAATCTTCGCCAATTGGTTTGAATCCGGTAATAACATCAGTTTTTCGGGTGTTTGTATTTATCTGATCGGGAGATAGACAGAAGGTTTCGTTTTTGATGGATGAGATTTGGGAGAGAGCGGTGGAGACAGCGTTGAACGAGCAGAAGGATTACGCTGCAACTCGGACCTTGACGTTAGACGGGTCGGTGAAGGTCGTGCCGGGCAGGCTTCCTCTACTGAGCCTTCTAGAGAAATTTGAGAACCTTCAGTATCTGTCAATGGCTAACAACAGAGTTCCTTCTCTGGAGCATTTTTCGCGTCTTCGGGATCTGCATAAACTCATCCTCTCTGACAATCGGATAGAATGTAATAAAAGACAAAGCATCCCTCTCAGCAAAAGAAATCCAGGTCAGACGAAGAGTCGGGCATGATGAGTGGAACGTTAAGTTTTAACGGATGGATGACGTCATGTTATACGGAGGGGCTGATTTGCGACCGTAGATGAGCTGAGGGGTTCTTTTGCGCGTGAACTGAGTTGAGGGGCTAATCTGCAGATTTTGCCTTTATTTTTCGCTTAATACGAAATGGCCGCTTGTTTTTCGCTGTAGTTTGTTCCTTCGATCTTTGTTTTGCCGTCGTACAAATCGATCCTACCCTATATAGATTTGTCCTG